AAGGGGAACATGTGAAAAGGGAATAAGTAAAAAAGAAACGGGTGAATAGGAAACGGGTGAATAATGAACGAATGAATAGAGAAGACGTGAAAATTTTCCATAATAATTTCAAATACAATGTATTGATAAAAAAACAATAGACATGTACCATTTAGATATTTTTATAAGCTATTCCTTTACATAATTAAGACTTACTTTTTACAGATAATATGGTATCTATTTAATCTGCAAGATATATTTTTGAAACAATTCAATAAGATACGGATGAATAGGTATCGAGTGAATATGGGAAAGGAACGCGTGCACAGAGCACAGGAATATAGAGAACACGTGAAAAGATAACACATGAATAGGGTTACTACGTAACGAATAGAGAACGAATAAATAGAAAACAAATGTATAGGGAACGTGTGAATTTGAAATGTGATGGGTGTGGCTTTCTAAAAAAGCATTAAACTTAAAGCAGAAGAATTTAACTACAGTAATCATTTTTAACAAAAATCTGTAAACATTTTATATCCTTTTTGACCTTTTGGCCGTTTTTAAGTTATTTCACAATACATGGATGACTATATGAAGGAAATTCAACACTCCAAACGTGGGTATGATACCAAAATGACACGGTAAATAAATCGCTATGTAATGTATCAGCTGTTTAAAATTTCAGTTTTAGGGTAAACAAAATATTTGACTTTTTTGTGAGATTTCCTATGGGCAGTTGTCTTGATCAGTGATCCATACACGCTTATGGTATTAATTTACAACAACCTTGTAGGGGTCACGTTTTTTCTATTGTTAACGGTTATATGTCAGACTATAGGAGCCTCTAAGATCATTAATTCAAGCAGGATAGGTTAAAATGTGTCTCCATAGGAAAACAACAACACCAACAAAGGCAACAGCAAAAACATCGCTCGTCGTACTGTACAGAAAGAAGTCTGAGATTGTTAAAAAAAATATAAACCCGACTGAGTTTTTAGATTATGATGAGAAATTAAAAATCTTGTTTCTTTAATAATAATTATTTCTTTAATTATTTACTAAAGATTTGCTTTATCACAAATTTTATGCGTTAACTTTGTTATAATATGCTGAAATATGTTGTTAATTATCAATTGCCAAAACACAATGTAAGTTAATTGACTCTTTCGTTAAGTTTTGAACAGGAAAGAATATCAAAACTTCACAAAATACCAATGTCTGTTTTATCAAAATGATCAGTACCACTGATCCGAAAATCAAGGTTAAGCGGACGCTAAGTCGGTCAAGCAAAACGTGTACTTTAAAAATGTTTCGGTTAATTTGTTTTTGACCTAAGTGATGCAATACTTTGTTGAATAGTTTATGCAAGGAATTTTGTTTATTTATTCTATGGTAAGCCACTCTTTGCTCAACGTCTTTAAGTTGTTTGGATAAGTCTATATCTGCGCGCCTGCCGCAAACATTGACCGTAAACTCAAAGAAATATTATCCACATTCGCGTGCGCGCGCAAAAAAGAAGAATAATAATGAAAAAAGTAAAAGAATTTCAGACAAAAAAGCATGCTACACGTAAAATTTTATTAATCTTTTTTGGATTTGCCATTAAATTTAAGTAAATTTAACTTTCTCTTTCGTTAATTTTAAGAAAGTTCAAATAATTGCTCTCAGATGTTTATTACTTATCGAAATTTATCTAAAAACATTTCAAAACGTAACACAAAGACACTAATGAATCTGGAAAAAAATTCAAATATGCCTGGGATTCGAACTCGTGAAATAGTAACCTCAACGCTTCACCACTGGGCCAAAGACCGTGTTATCAGGGATTGCACATGAATCAATGAATTAATAGTGAGCTGGGTGTGCACTCATACACCATGTGCCTTATAAGGCATATTAAGCCAAAATATTATCACTTTTATATCTCAAAGGTTTTTTGTGTCCCATTGCACTTTTTTTTTTAGAAAATTGGCATTGGCCGTATATCATGGCGACCTTTGCTTCTATTGCACTTTGCCTAAATGATATAGAAGTCAAAATACGACTTTGTTTACATTTAAGACAAACACAGAAATTATTTCAAATGCTCATTAAACATAATTATAAAATTATAAAACATATAATACCCGTTTCTAAAGAATAAAAAATGTTTTAATTTCTAAAGTGCCGTTACTGATATTTTTAAGAAATAAAAAAGAAAAGAGAAAGAAAGAAAAAGAAAGAAAAAGAAAGAAAGAACAACAAAAACCAACAAACTAACAAAAGCAAACAAACAAACAGAAACAACAACACTATTTTTAGTAAAATAAATCGGAAAAAAAATATCAGATTTTTTTTTTATTAAATAAAACTTAAAGAAACATTTTCTAGATTATATTTGAAGAGTTTACCTTTTTAAATATATCCGGCTGTACACAATACTAGGTATAAGTAACACTTCTTGTATTTAATTTAACACGATATGTCTAAATACTATACAAGTTAAACTTAAGACTGACTTTTTAAAAGAGCGGAGATCGGGGTATCGGATGCAGTCACTGGATCCTACATCACAAGGTTATTACAAGTCTTTTTATAAGGTCAGTCATGCGCTTGTAAACATTCGGCATATTTCGCCATTTTCCGTAAAGGTCAATCGAAATTTGAAAAAAAAAAATCGTCAATAAATTTGACATTTTAGTAGTAAACAAGGCTTGAAGCTGTTGACCGAATTAATACTAGCAATTGTTGACGCATGGAAATGAATACGCATTTTCTGTTACTTATTTTCTGTTATTTATTTTGATAATAATTATATATGAATAATATTTTGTACTATATTATTTTGTGTTTGGTTTAACGATAAATTACTTTTCACTATTCTAAAACTATAATATACATGTATATTGAGCTGTCTGCAATCGGCGGAAAATAACGACAAAGGCAATAAAAAAGCTATGTAATTTTCCTTACTTAAAAAAGCATTATGCCTCAGAAATCCGTATTTTTTAAATTATTAAGAAATATCAACTGTGTTTAGAGCATGTAAGACGTTTAACAATTGAAGAAAGTAGCACTGAACACGAAGTAATGTGCCATAAAGACAAAATAGTATATGTTGTCTTCCATACACACTATTCATTCACAATAATTATGCCAATTGCCAACAGAGTAAAGAGTTCATCTATGTGGCAAAAGAGTATTTTTTTGGAAACCGTAACTAGATACTATATGTAAAAAGTTTTGAAATATAAAAATGATAGCATTTTTGAGGCATAATGTACATTTACAACATTTTAACAAATATTTTAAACGTTTCGGTAAACATGCAAAGTTTAATAAAATTCACAGTTTTCATTTTGCTTTATTGTATACATTTACTGTATGTCATAATTATTTATTTATGTTAGTATAGTTTACTAGTTTAAAAGTATCATTTAGCAACCTTCCCCACTCCTAACTAAACGCTATTACTTTTATTCCTGCATACTCTGTGCATTTCCTTCAGCACATGTACATTTCTGTCAGTAGTCATTCACATTTTCGTCGTTGGTCATGTACATTTCCGTCCGTGGTAATGTACATTTCCGTCAGTGGTCATTTAATTTCCGTCAGTGGTCACGCATATTTCCGTCCGTGGTAATGTACATTTTCGTCAGTGGTCATTTAATTTCCGTCAGTGGTCACGCATATTTTCGTCCGTGGTAATGTACATTTTCGTCAGTGGCCATGCATATTTCCGTCAGTGGTCATGTAAATGTCTGTGAGTAGTCATGTACATTTCCGTCAGTGGTAAATTACATTTCCTCCAATTGTCAAGTTTTTTCCGTCAGTGGTAAAGTACATTTCCTTAATTGTCAAGTGTTTTTCGTCCACGGTCACGTACATTTCCGTCAGTGTTCATGTACATTTCCGTCAGTGGCCATGCACATTTCCGCCAGTGGTCACGCATATTTCCGTCAGTGGTCATGTACATTTCCGTCAGTAGTCATTTACATTTCCGTTAGTGGTAATGTACATTTTTGTCAGTGGTCATGTAAATTTCTCCCAGTGGCCATGTACATTTCTGTCAGTGGTCATGTACATTTCCGTTAGTGGTTTTGTACATTTCTGTCAATGGTTATTCACATTTCCGTCAGTGGTCATGTACATTTCCTTCAGTTAACAAGTTTTTTCAGTCGGCGATCGCGTACATTTCTGTCAACGGTAAAGTACATTTCCTTCAACTGTCAAGTTTTTTCCGTTCGCGGTCACGTACTTTTCCGTCAGTTTTGATGTACATTTTCTTCAACTCTCAAGATTTATTCCGTCCGCGGCCATGTACATTTCCTGTCAGTCGTCAAGTACAAGTACATTTCCGTCAACTGTTAAGTACTTTACCGTCAGTGATAATGTATATTTCCTTCCGCGGTCAAGTACATCTCCGTCCGCGGTCACATACATTTCACGAACATTTCCGTCGGTGGTAACTTCTTCTCGTTAATGTAATATATTATTTATATGTCAATCTCTCTCATTGCAATATACATTTATACGATATATGGGGCCTACTTACTATAAATCCGAGTAAAATATGTTCCTATCTTTATTCACGGATTTATATTACAATTAGGATCAGTGCTTTATTGTAATTGATTTTAATATATCCTATTATTTTTCTTTTTTTTGTCTTTTAAAAGCATGTAATAAGAAAGTTTCAGTCATACTATATAGAGTTTAATAGTTTATATATGTGATGAAAAAGACTTTATTAGAACTGAAAATTATTCTTTGTCAATGTTTTTCTAGTGAAAGGAGAACTTCTATAATATTCTGCCTTTTGCGGTAGACTCTTTTTTTTTTCAAAAATACATGTTCAAAAAATAAAATGTACTTCTTGATATCATAAATGTACAAATTACATGTTTATTATATCATATATGAATTATGAACTTAACACATGATTCACTAAAGTTGCTTTAAAATGTAGGTAAAAAATGTGAAGCATAGAAGCTTTGTGAGATAAGCAATAAAGAAAATACATGTCTATAATGACTTACCCCTTTTCTTGTTCTTGTTACCCATAGGCGTTGTCTTTAAAATTTTACTTTACTGTCCTTTGGTCAAAATATGAAAGTTGTCTGTTAGTGGTACATGAAATCTGTATTAATTATTGCATCCGATAAGAATGAAATAATAGAAGTAAATCCCGGTTAATATGATGTTTATTTTAACTATAAACACACGTCAATGATGTTGAATCACGTGACACTATTTTCAAATGATGCAACGCCGCAGAATTTACAAATATTTTTAGTCTCTTTTACATAATCGATTACATAAGGCTAAGCCGACCGATTAACATTACAAGATTGTTAAGTAAACAACAGAAAGTTAAGAAAATAAACAGTCTCTTTACAAAATCAGTGTCACGGCTTAACTAAACATAGACGTGAAATCTTTATCAGTTGATAAAATGCAATCTCTTTAAAGTTGTGAACAAATATTTTGCAGATAAAACTCTAAACATTTCATTCGGTCTTGTACTAAATGGACGGATTGGCGAATGGACGGACGGGCGTGCTGACCGTATATAGGTAGGTAATTAGGTAGGTTGGCAGTTAGTTAGGTAGATAGGTAGATAGATATGCACGTTCCGTCCTTGTTACAGAACATTTACCATTTCAGATAAATTTAAGTGTTTTAAGTGTTTACCTTGAACCTTTACCACTTTTTTCTTATCTTATTTGTTTAGTTGAATTAATATACTTTTAAACCATTTCTTATCTCGAAGGCTACCAATTTGCAAAACATACACGAAGGAACAATTTGCAAAACATACACGAAGGACAATATTTTACGCGAATATATTTTAATTGTAATTTTAAAGGGACTTCACTTTTTTCCACGTCAGGTCTGGAAATATATTTTCAAGATTATTATACCATCTGGTAAAAAAATGCTCACTTCTTTTTCCCCCCAGCATAATGATTTAATCGGAACATCTTGGCAATTATTGATAATAACCTCGGACTTGATACAGATTGAAAGTTGTTCTACCAAGTGGTTTTATATCTAAACAAAAATGCGAGATTCGTTGGTTACATTCTCGCGTCAGTTTTTTTTTAGAGATTCTTAAGGTAATGCTATGTCTAAACTATAGGATATTCGGTTTAAAAAGATGCGAAATTGTACATTTGAATGAACACGTACTTACATTTGAATGAACGCATCATTTTTGACATTCATATTGAAAATATATTTCTGTAAGAGAATTTTGAAAAAATGCGAGGCTTGATGTTAATTTGGCGCCTTTTTTTCTCGGTACTAACACTAGATGGAAAATAGTATCGCAACACCGCTAGTGCGGTATGCCTAAAATACGAAAGTGACTTTTTGACTTTCAAAATATGAATTATAGCATTTAAATAGAATTTTACAATAGAATTGCATTTTGTAGACGTATATTATTAGAAATTGATTATATTTACTGTCAAAAAATCATAATGATGGTTTAATCTCCATTTATGTGCATTCTTTCTAAACACAAGTAAAATATTAAATATAGCGTTTAAATTAAACTTTATACTTATATTTTACTTTTTAGACGTATATTATCAGAAATTAATATTATTCATATTAAAGAAATAATCATTATGACGATTTACTCGCTATTTATTTGCATTATTTCTATACACAAGTTCAGAGATCTTCCTTTCGCTCACATTGAAAAATACTAGTACGAAAGTGACTTATAAAATATTAAGTAAAGCGTTTAAATTGAAATTTATACTAATATTGCAGTTTGTACTCATACAATACCCTCTCCATATATAATGATAAAAAGTGCCGGAACAAGAAAAATTAAAGAGAACTGACATTAACTGTTTTTTTTTCTCAATTTAATTCAATTGCCGACCGGTTCCTATAATCATCAGGTAAAATAAACAAATTCAAATAACATATATTATTTAAGAAAATTATAAATTACGTTCATAACTTTCTTTGATGACGGCAGCACTTTGTCGATCACATTTGAATAAATATTACTATGTATTTTATTTTTAACCAAGCTCTTTGAAATATTTTCATCATGGGCCAAAGGTGAGGTAGGCACATTGTTACATGCAAGGTTACATGGGTTAATATTATCTTTATGGTAGAGAAATCACTTGATATGTGTCTCAACATGAAAGAAAACACACGAGTTGATAGTTGATACAAGTTATAGTAAACTAATTTTGACATATGGTATCGACATTGCTTTTAAAATGACGAAAACATTTTTTCGTGGCATAGCATTCTCCGATTTTTGGAAAACACTGTCACTCCTGAGGTTCCGGGTTCGATCCTCGGTAACACCCTTGGGATTTGTTAGAAACACTTTCAATGTTTCCCACCTAACTAGAGTTTTACTGGTACGAAACCCAGGTAATCCTCGCATGTATCAGTGCTATACACTGGGCCTGTAAAAGAACCAAGGAATCTATTCAATAAGAGCTAGGGACTGGTTCCCGGATTTCCTTGTATCTCATAGCTACCTCTGCAGTCTGCTGAGGTAAGGACCCTACTGGAAAAAAGTGCTTGCACTTTCGTAAGTTATCCTTGAACGCCCGGTCTAAAAAAATCAATCAATCAATCAACAAACATGTTCCTTTAAACCGGGTATTTTTAGAAACTGTGTTTGTCTTTGTCAGCTTTGTTTTGGCCGAGGGCTCTACAACCGGAGTGTCGTGGGGTTCTCATTTAAAGAGATCACCAACATGTGAAAGAGCTTGCATTTAGTAGGTTTTTTTCAGAACTTATATGATAATTTAAAAAGCTCTTTTTCACACGCTAGTACATGTTATTATCCCCCGCACCGCCTAATCAGTTGGCTGATTAAAGCTTGAATACACGGTGTTGTTTGGCACAAGCGATGCCATTCAGGTACATCAAATAATTCGCTGAGATAAAAACGTGAAATAGAATGTTGTTTAAATCCTCTAATCATTTCCGACCGATTTACGAAGTGTCGAGTAACTATCTGGTGTACTTTCATAAAGAAATGCAGGGGGCTTGCAAAGTGAATGTAGGACAAAACCCCACACGTCAAAACCCCACACCTCAAAATTTTATGGAGTGGACAAAACGCCACAACTAAATTTTATAGAGTGGACAAAACCCCACACCTTCAATTTTATAGAGTGGACAAAACCCCACACCTTCAATTTATAGAGTGGACATAACCCCACACCTTCTATTTATTTGTTATAAAACTCTACAATTCATATTATTTTAATCTTGTTATTAAAAAAAGAAGAATAAAACAGAATATTTACTAAAGTTTTATATGGTTACTCTAATCATTTTACATATTTCGTAGTTTCATGATTATTAATGGTATGTTATATTTTATTTCAATATACAATACAATTTGATTAAATGATAATAGACTATACAAATATTACAAACTGTTATATAAAAATCAAAGGATAAGCATTCAAATATTACAAACTGTTATATAAACATCAAAGGTAAACATTCATTAATCTTAATTAACATTAATTATTCAAAGTGTCAACAATGTCACTTATTTTATTGTCAGTCAAAGGTCTATACATATTAGTAATAAAAAGTGTGGGGTTATGTCCACTCTATAAAATTGAAGGTGTGGGGTTTTGTCCACTCTATAAAATTTAGGTGTGGGGTTTTGTCCACTCTATAAAATTTTTGAGGTGTGGGGTTTTGATGTGTGGGGTTTTGTCCGTCTTCCTTGCAAAGTTATTCGGATTTGATAACAGAGTGTTTTGATTACGGAGTGTACACTGTACATATTTATGCAATCTGTAGTTAATACGCTAAAAGTATCACATCCGTCATCTGTCAACATTGGTAATCATTGATTTGTTCACATAGCACGGTAGTCTGACAAAAACATTTTCGGACAGGAAATAAGAGAACTAGACATGCATGGTTCAACCAAATTTCATAAAAACGAATAAATATTTGAATATGAAAAAACGAATGTTCGAACATCAAAACCCTTAGTCGTTCCCGGTCCTTCTGTTATACATCTTAAGATGAAGGTGACTGAGGTTTACAAGCATAAAAACATAACATTTGAATTTCTTACATAAATGAGCTGGCCTCTTTAAACAGAAATATACGAAAAGATAGTTAAGAAATATACTTTGAAATGAATTGAAAATCGTATTTTTATGCTTTTCTTAGCCCGATTTGAGTGAAAAGTGTTTAAACGCCTTTCATTTTTGGTCAAGTTTTACAATTTGAATAATTATTTTGGAAAAACGAAGTGCGCTAATGATCTGAAATTTTGCACAAAGATTAGTGGTCTAAACCTACATCAAATGGTACATTTATTTGGAAAAAATATTTTCAGTCCCATCATGTCAAAATAATTCTTGCTAGAGTAAAAGTTCGACCCAGCTCGAAGATAACATTCAAAATTTACATTTAATTTAGCTGAATTTCTGGCTGGATTTGAAAATCGAAGTTAAAAGTTTATAAAAGAATCCTTATCCCTTTAATGCCCATATGGACTCGTTTTAGTTTTTGTTATTTCACACTTTGCGTGTCCCCCTCTTTTCGTCGCCATTGTGTCCGCTCCCGGTTTTGGTTTGGTGCATTCTGGGTACCCTGCTTTGGTGTGTCGGGGTCGGGGCTGCGTCCGGTGAACGTTGCATTGACCTTGTTGATCTTTATTCTTGTTTTTATAGCAATGATATCGAAGATCAAAATTTAGTAGACGCAACGTCGGGTATTACCGACTATCGGTAGTTATGGACAGAAGTAATTATAATGTATTATCTTGGCGTATATTGTTCATCTTTAGTACAAAATAGTTATTTTACGTCGTTTATGATGTCATCAAGTCTCCTAGAAGTATGCGGTGCCATTCTTTTTGCAGAACCGAAAACACATTCTAACGAAAGCGAGCCAAAAAAGGTACCGTATACGTAATTTATTTAAAAACCATGCCTTACCCGCACAGTTAAATCGGTTATAATCTATTTATTTCTTGCACGTTACTTTAAAGTGTTGAAATCACAATAAATGTCATTTTATTGATTGCATGAACGTTTATCTGTGACAAGTAGTAAAAATATATTGTTTTGATTGTTTGTCATTATAAGCGGGGTTGTCGATAAATACCGACAAAAGAGGCCGGTAAGGCTAATATCGTCAGGTTGTGTATGCCTCCAAGTAAAGTCATTAAATATACCTTTCTAATGAAAATATCCTTATTATTGGTGTTAATTAAAGCTGTTACTTTTTTCAAGATAAACAGAGATTAATTTATGCTCATAAAATAAAAAAAATCAATAAGGGAAAAAATACCTTTATACTTCAATTTAATATCATTTTTGTATTTAATACAAGTCTTATTTTTTATTTTTTTCAGAATGTCTGGCCAACTGTTTACTAAGAAGCGGCATCAATATTCTCCTACGAAATTGGCAACAGCTCTTGCCATGGTTAAGACGGGCGCAATGTCTAAAAATAAGGCTTCTAAAATGTACAGCATACCAAGAACAACGTTGACTGACAAGTTGTCCGGACGAACGGCGGAAGGGGTGGTACGTCCGGGCCCATCGACTGTCATTACTTCAGCGGAGGAAGACGTCCTTGTACTATACTCAATACTCATGGCATCAATTGGTTACCCTTTGACGCGAAATGAGCTTTTGAATGAGGTCAATGTCATTATGATATTGACGGCCGTCAGAATATCTTTTAAGAATAACGAACCAGTAAAAGACTGGCTCTATGTATTCAAGAGGCGACACCCAGAATTACGCGAATGCCAGGCAATGGCTCTTGGTCATCAGAGAGCAATAGTAAACAAGGCAATGATTGATGGGTTGTTTGCAGGATTATTCGATTATTTGGCAAAAAGAAATACACGATCACGAGGTTCTTGCCGAAAATGGTGCTCGTCACGTATATAATGTAACAACCAGCAGCAAAATACAACTCACTGTCATGGTTTGTTTTGTTTTAACACTTTTGGCGATTATGTTCCGCCACTGATTGTATTTCCAGGCGAACGGCTGCGAGACACTGGTATTCATCATTTTCCAGAAGCTATTTATGGCAACAGTGCGAATGGCTGGATGGACACAGACTTATTTTTTGCATTCTTGCAACACTTCTCTGCTTTCATTGATGCTAAGTGTATCAATAAACCAGTTCGCTTGTTTGTGGACGGACACTCCACACACATATCTCGTGCTGCAGCAACATTCTGCGGGATAATATTATATATCTTTTGCCAAACGCGACGCACATTTTGCAACCATTCGATGTCGGTTTCGTCTCACAGAATCTGCGTGGGACTCTGTCACCACTTTTGACAATGCTGCCCATGGTTTTCGACGTTCCGGATTATTTCCGTTGAGTCCAAACGGCATAGATATTTCTAAATTGGACCCGTTAAAGGTAGCTTATCCTTCCTGCACCGCTGGCGGAGATGCTGCAACAATTTATGCTGCAACCAATGTAACAGGTACCACAAGTGAAAGTTGCACAGCTGCCTCTTCTGCAAATGGCTTAACTACGAATAATTGCGAAACTGCGTTCATTAATTGTTTATCTTCTGTTCACTGACCGAACACGGTTTCTTTAAGGTAAACTTTTGTTTCGCCAGCCTTTCAGTGACTTACTGTTCTAGAGCCAAAGCAACGGAAAATAGTAAATCAATTTTCAGAAAAATTACATGAAGTAAGTTGGCAGCCTAGCAGCCTGCAGTTGGCAGTTCCGCCCGTTGTTTTCTCGTTTTGGGCGCACGCTTTGTTTTATATGCGGACCATATGCCGCTTTTCATGGAATGACACTTACGTGTCACATTGAAGGTTCCATGATAACCGCCATATAAACACATCTGTGGATGTTTCAAAATTCAAAAGTGTACCAGTTCATGTTAAATGTTGAGTTCTGCTTGAGCCGGTGCTAGGGGGCGTGGACGGTAGTTTGCACTTGACAGTACCGTCCATGAACAGACTCAATCAAACAGAGCTTGTAACATTTTCAATTTTGCCGTGTTGGGCTTTCTTTGAGGATGCTTATTTTCTCTATTTGCTTTAATCATTTTGAGAGTCTTCACGATTCTGTCTTAATCGTTCTGAGATGATTTGTGCTTCTGCCTTTAAGTATTCTGAGATGCTTTATATTTTTGCCTGTAATTATTCTTACCAAACTGCAAACTTTAAAATATTTTATAACCTTAAAATTGCAAATATATCCTTATACTTGATCAAATTGTGTTTCTGCTTCTTATAGAAATTTAAATTGATCATGTAATTATTTTTTGTGTGGCTTTATCATTCTAATTAGAGTACATTAATAACTACTTTAGATGCTTTAAAAGCCATCAGTGTTATTTTGTTGATGGATGACACCAGTATTGGGCTTAGTAAGAATATCAAACTTGAGGATCTTACTCGTACTTTAAACAAGACAGAAGTTATGTTGCTTAATCAAAATTTAATCTCCAAATTTACAATTTTCTCGTAAACATTATTTTTGCATACAAACTGTGCATTCAGGTATATCTTAACAAAAAAGAAAACATGCAATAATAGATAAATTCGTGTGAGTATGTGTCTTTGTTGCACGTGTTTTTTAAAATCCATGACTCGGTGTAACATGTTAAAATAGTTTACTGCAATGAAAACCCGGTAGTCTATATGCAAGTAAAACACTTAAACTCTTAGACTTCTCCTCGAGTCCTCAGGATATTAGGTCAGGATGACTTTAGACACCTTGACACTTAGACCCCTTTTTACATGATTTTTCCATTTTAACAACATTAGGAATGTAACTATCAAAATGCAAAAGCAAATTAGCTACCAATATCATAGAATCTATCCGGACAGAAAATTAGATTATTTGGTGGATTTACCTTTTTTCTTCTATGAACAATAGTTAAAAGTGCAAGCTACTCCTTTTTGTACAGGTAACAATGGATATTTCACTGTCAAACATGTTTACCTTAAATGTCATGATTTTGCACAGGTTCGTGACAGATTTCATCGACTCGGATAAAATTCACTTTCAGAACGTTTTCTTTTTTACTCAGTTCCTTCAAAACATTGATCGACTATTTAAAAAATAAACCTTGACGAAATAAAATAAAATTTTGAAGAGTTTCATAGGTAATGAAGCCTGCACAAACTTACGTCAAAACACAAACTGCAGTAATTATATTTTTTCACCATTATCATACATTTGTAAATGAAATACCCTGCTCTAACCGGTGTTAGTGTGCTTGAAAGTTACATCCTTATAGAGTTTCTAATTTTTTGTGACTGTTACATAACGACCAGTTTTATATTTGTCTACAGATCCAACTGACATTATTTTTTGAATATTTTCCAAGAATGTAAAACACATAACGCGTACATTTAAGTTTTAGTTTAAATAGCCTATAGTGGGGCGGGAAATTGAGAAAATAGTGCAAATTGTGATACAAGCATGAAACTTTCAGGAAATCATCTTTAGACCATGTAGATTTCAAAAGTGAAGTGGGCCCAAAAATATCTCTGCTCATTCAAGATGGCCGCCATTTTCAAAATGGCCGCCATATACATTTGACGTACATACTAGCTCATTCATTCCAATGTTTGGTACAGACCTTTAACTAACACCAAAAGCATGAATATAGTTTCTCCTTTTCAAAAATTTTACAAAATTTCTCTTTTATATCTCTTCCAAATCCAAGATGGCGTCCAATATGGCCGTCGATTTTGTGCAAAACTGTTATATCATTTTTATAGTATAATTTGTTGCACAAATTATATTTATTATGATAAAAAGTGTTTAAACATATCAGAGACAATCAAATTATATGTTAATCTAAATAAAAGTAAACATTTTAAAAGTTTTTGTCTTAAAAATAACTTTTAAAAAGGTCAAGAAAAAATTCCAATTTTTTCATATTTTTCAAATTTGATTTTCTAAATTAATGTACAAAGTTAAAAAAGTTACTTTATATCTTAAACTGTATTTGACATTCCATTAATATCATGTGTTTATTGTAAAAAATGTAAGAAAAACATTAAATCTGTAGGTTTTATATTTTGTGAAAGTGGGTGGGGTAATTTTGTACGATAATTGTAAAAGAAAAAACAACAGAAAATAAACATAGCTAAGTTCATTCTGTTTCTTTGCCTTTTTAGCTCACCTGTCACAAAGTGACAGGGTGAGCTTTTGTGATCGCTTTTCGTCCGTCCGTCCGTCCGTCCGTCGTCCGTAAACTTTTACTTTAAATGACATCTCCTCATAAACCGCTGAGCCAATTTCATCCAAACTTCACAGGAATGTTCCTTTGGTGGTCACCTTTAAAAATTGTTCAAAGAATTTAATTCCATGCAGAACTCTGGTTGCCATGGCAACCGAATGAAAAAACTTAAAATATCTTCTTTTAAAAAACCCAAAGAGGTAGGGCTTAGATCTTTGGCATAAAACATCTTCTAGTGAGTGTCTATCAAGTTTGTTCAAATAAAAGTCCTGGGGTCAAAATTGGCCCCGCCCCCGGGGGTCATTGATTTTTCCCTATATGCATATAGTAAAAACTAAAAAATCTTCTTTTAAAGAACCCAAAGAGCTAGAGCTAAGATATTTAGCATGAAACATCTTCTAATAGGTGTCTACCAAGTTTGTTCAAATAAAAGCCCTGGGTTCAAAATTGGCCCCGCCCCAGGGGGTCATTGATTTTCCCTTTATGCATATAGTAAAAACTTATAAAATCTTCTTTTAAAGAACGCAAAGAGCTAGAGCTAAGATATTTAGCATGAACCATGTTCTAATAGGTGTCTACCAAATTTGTTCAAATAAGAGCCATGGGGTCAAAATTTGCCCCGCCCCGGGGGTCATTGATTTTCCCTATATGCATATAGTAAAAACTTATAAAATCTTCTTTTAAAGAACCCAAAGACCTAGAGCTAAGATATTTAGCATGAAACATCTTCTAATAGGTGTCTATCAAGTGTGTTCAAATAAAAGCCCTGGGGTCAAAATTGGCCCCGCCCCAGGGGGTCATTGATTATCCCTATATGCATATAGTAAAAACTTATAAAATCTTCTTTTAAAGAACCCAAAGAGCTAAAGCTAAGATATTTAGCATGAAACATGTTCTAATGAGTGTCTACCAAGTTTGTTCAAATAAAAGCCCTGGGGTCAAAATTGGCCCCGCCCCAGGGGTCATTGATTTTCCCTATATGCACATAGTAAAAACTTATAAAATCTTCTTTTAAAGAACCCAAAGAGCTAGAGCTAAGATATTTAGCATGAAACATCTTCTAATAGGTGTCTATCAAGTGTGTTCAAATAAAAGCCCTGGGGTCAAAATTGGCCCCGCCCCAGGGGGTCATTGATTTTCCCTATATGCATATAGTAAAAACTTATAAAATCCTCTTTTAAAGAACCCAAAGAGCTAGAGCTAAGATATTTAGCATGAACCATGTTCTAATAGGTGTCTACCAAATTTGTTCAAATAAGAGCCCTGGGGTCAAAATTTGCCCTGCTCCGGGGGTCATTGATTTTATTTATGTGTAAAGCAAAAACTTATAAAATATTCTTTGAAAAAATCCAAATAGCTAGAGTTAAGATATTTAGCATGAAACATCATCCAGTTAGTGTCTTCAAAGTTTGTTCAAATAAAGCTCTAGGGTCAAAATAGGCCCTGCCCCGGGGGACATTGATTTTCCTTATTATGTGTACAGCAAAAACTTAAAAATCTTCTTTAAAAAATAAAACACAATAGGTAGAGTTTAGATATCAAGCATGAAACATCTTCTCGTGAGTGTCTCCAAAGTTTGTTCAAATAAAAGACCTGGGGTCAAAACTGGCCCCGCCCTAGGGGTGTCATTGCTTTTAACTATATGTGTATAGTTAAAACTTAAAAAATCTTTTTTTAAAAAACTCAACGAGCTAGTCCTTAGATGTTTAGCGTGAAATATCTTCTAATGGGTGTCTACCAAGTTCGTTCAAATAAAAGCCCTGGGGTTTAAACTGGCCCTGCCCTGGGGGCCTATATACAGGTGAGCGACTTCAGGGCCATCATGGCCCTCTTGTTACTTTTCTATGAATTCTCATGGAAATGTTCCAACTTAAAAAGTACTTTTTATTGGATGAAATATTTTTGTCTTCCTTCGGGCCAAGTGGCTGAGCAAGAAATGCACATTCAAACATGTGTATACATTCAGTTATTAAATTTGGTTGCATGATAATTCTTGTTTCAATATATTTTATATCATATATTAATTGTTAATTATTGTAAAGACACATAAGAAGACAATAAATCAACTAAACGTGCTTAAAATTATAGCAAACATGTACATGAATGTAAGGTATAAAGCTAGTCCATAAACGCATATTTTTGACTCCTTCACAATTTTATATTTATAATATAAACATGGCTTAAAAGCCAACAAAATGTATGTGATGTGAAACAGATGTATCAATGATATGGCCTGGCCTGCATGCAGTATTTTGAAAAGTTAAGATACAAACTAAGTGTATTTCCTAAAGTAATCATATCTCATTTTTTTCTTTCAATAAGAGGGCAATGATGACCCTGGATCACTCATCTAAGATCATTGTTGGAAAAAAGGTAACAAGATCATTTTGGGAGTGTCAATTATGTCATAACACACATGATTTGTGTCATTATTGAATCCGGTTGCTTTTAAGGAAACATGCTCAATATCTTGTTTCAATTTTTTTTTCTCACGAGAGAACTTTAATAACCATATATTCATATATGAGTCCATATAAACTTAGTGACCTCTTATGTTTGGTAAAATTGGACCATGTTGTCCATGATATATCAAATATTTGTAGAGTATAACACAAATATGATGATACGTGATTAATGTCTATGCGTTGGATAGTGTAGGTTAAGAGAAAACAGATTTAATACATTAGTCTTTGTAAATTAAGTGATACTCATTGCAAAAGCATTTTAGACTGCAGTAGCATCATACAATTTTATATATTAAGAATATTGAAACAACTTATATCGTGCAAACACATTAATATTAAATTGAATGTATACATATGATTGTATCTGCATTTATTGATATTTTAGTACACCCTCTAGACCTGAAGGAAGACAAAAATACCTTAATACAATAAAATACTTTTACAGTGAATATTTGCATAAGAATTCATAAAAGACGTTATTTTGTACTACAATTGTCTGATAAATTTACCCCACCCACTTTGAATAAGTATAAAACCTTCACATTTTTTGTTTTTGTTACAATTATACAATAAAACATAGTGTTGATTGAATATCAAATACACTATAAGGAACTATGTAACTTTTGGAATTTTTGTACATAGACCTAGAAAACCATGTTAGAGAAAATGGCACTTTTTCTTTGATATTTTTAAAGATTTTTTTTGTACAAAAAACTAAAAACATGACTAACAATGTGGTTAACCTAAAATTTGATTTTTTTCTAATGTGTTTAACAATTTTATATGGAAATAAGCATACTTTGTGCAAAAAATTATACTACAAAAGAGATATATAAGTTTTCATTGAAATTGGCAGCCATATTGGAAGCCATCTTGGATTCTGAAGAAATATGCAAGCGAAATTGCTTAAAGATTTAAATGTTTGAAAAGGAGAAACTATATGCATGCTTTAATGTAAGTTTCAGGTCTGTACAAAAAATTGGAATGAATGAGCTATTATGTACGTCAAAATTATATGGCGGCCATCTTGAAAATGGCGGCCATCTTGAATGAGCACAGATATTTTTGGGCCCACTTCACTTTTGAAATCTACATGGTCTAAAGATAATTTCCTGAAAGTTTCATGCTTGTATCACAATTTGCACTATTTTGACAGCAGAGACCTTATTTCCCGCCCCACTACTACTAGGTATTGAGTTTACTAAACATTAACGAAAACCAACGTCTAAAACGACAAGTAGGCAAATATAAAAGCTCCGCTATTCCTTCTAGAAGTGAAACTAGTGTAATGCATTAGTGCTATGATTACGAACTTAAATAATTTATAATAGCAAAAACGAAATGGTGTTAAATAGCAAAACGTTTTCTAAGTTACAATCGTAAATGTTCTCGATAAAGGTGTACTCATCTGAACAACAGCATGAATTATATGTTTCACGAGATATGTTTATCCACTGAAATAAAATGTTCGCAAAATTTAAGACAGGCGATACAGAAAATACTTTGATTCAATTATACATTACTAAATATTCACTGCCAATAATAGCAACTTTGACATACAGTATGGTATTGAAAATAAGATTAACAGGAATTTGTATGATATACAAAACAATGATAGTTATAATTTTGCTGCACAAAATTGTTTAAATAAATAAATAAACTATTTACCTTTACCTTTGACTTTGTGACAAACGACCGACTTTTTAATATGAAAAATCTTGCCGACAAATATTTTTTTATTTAATAAAGCTGTTAGTCGGCTTAATCTTAATGACCACTCGGGCAATCTAAAAGTTGAACTCGATGCATGAAAGGACGACATCTTTTCGGTCTTGTAGCATTTACAAAAAGCACGGCCGTCATTTTGATCTGCGACTTCTTCTCAGGTATCTTAGAAGAAATAATGTCCGATCGTACGATAATCGATTACGATTAAGGAAAGCTGCGGCATTTGAAGAATTAAGACACCGCCGAATAGTACGATCGACATACAAAAATTATACGATAGAACGGAGTACTTCGTTTTCAATATAATGAAGGTCTGAAAGAAAAAAGGCTCGTTCCTTCACAATGTCGTTTGATTTTTTTACTTATCTACGATAAAGCAAGGTTTTATGTACGATAAAGCAAGGTTTTTCTTTACCAAAGTTCATTGAATTTAGTTTTTTGAAGGATAGTTTAAAATGGTTTTGTTGCCCAGTATCACAATCCGGCATGTCAACATACAGCTTGATGCTACATAGTGTCTTAAGACACATCAAACTTCTATCTGACTCTGATATAAATGCATGCAGTAAGTTGTAAACATTTTCGTCTGGATATGTGTTTTTAGAGAGTGACGAAAGATGCTGCCGCAAACCAGAACATGGTACCGTTGTAAAACCCAGATGTCAACGTGTCGTCGTCAAACCCAAAGGTATTGATTATGCTGTTTCTGTATTCTTTTTTTCTTAAGAATCTCGGTCAGGATTTCCAAATTCGCTATCGTAAAGAGCTTCTCAAAGGCTTTTGTATGTGGATTTATGAAAAGAGCACGATCTCCGCTTATGATGCAAGGATAATCTGCAAAAAAAATACTGGGTTGTTGTTTTATGCTGCAGTATATATTTTCTATTTTTGAACAGGTAATGGAGTCGTGAAAATAACCATAATTTATATCAGGTTGAGATTTACAAGTGACGAAAATTCACACAAAAAAACATAATAAAAGGACTTAAAGATTTTTCAATGTGATTAAAACAAACAAAATGATTGTACACACATTACATTGTATATTATATTTTATCTCATTATATTTTAAATAAATGTATTACTTGCTTTGTATACCTGTTAAGTGAAAGAGAGACTTAAAGCCAAGGCTAAAGCGGCCAATCTTAAGGGGATCGTCCCTTTTGACACTTGCATGAATTGAGCAAATACCGCTCCAATCATCTTCGGTTAAGGTCTTGTTGAAGTAGAAAACCAAAGCGGGTGCCTGTCAAGTAAAATATTACCAAAACATAAAACACAAGAAAATCATTAATTTTAATTGAGCCTTTTTCTTACATTGTACAGCAAACAACTTCTAAAGACACGTGCCCTGTTTACTTAAAAAATGTGTCTTAGGGCTCAGTGATCTAGGCCGTTAAATTAATTTGCTAGTAAACCTTTGGTGGCGAGTTCGAATCTCGCATGATTTAGTTTTCCTTTTGTTGCAAAAGCATTTTTATGCTGCGAATTTGAATTGTTCGTAAATTTGGGTATTTTTCTGGGATTAAACGGAATTGAATCCGAATAATCAACCGTAATGGTTTATGACATTTGCTGAAAAATATCAAAAGTACAGTCAAACTTGTCATATGTGACTTTCCCTGGAACTATCCAAAAAGGTCACTTATGGCAGGGAGTCTTTCAATCCAGGTCAATAAAAAGTTTCAGTTTTACTTTATGAAAGTTGCATATACTTTGATTGTTTTGTTTAATGGAAAATTTATCATAATGTCCTCTTGTATAATTCAATTTATTATAGTAAAAGTGTTTGTAAAATTCACATGCTTGTTAATTAGATGAAAACAATGAATATTTCAATATGTTGATTTGACAATATGGAACATGAAATGAATACTAGTTTAAGTCTTTAATTAAATTAAAACATTTATGAAAAGTCCAATTGTTAATATTTTATTTCATGAAAATCAAGCATACATAAGTAGCTCAGAGTCTTTATCAAAAAGTGAAATATCTGGGGAAAAATCCCTAAAATCAATATGCACTGAATGATTGTTCCCTCTTGTTCTGACAGCTAACACCAACGAAACGAATGTAATGCTCAGATATCTCAATGATTAAAATTACGTCATTTTTGCACACATTTAACCTTCAAAGTTTCTTTGATATCGGTAAATTTCCAAGCTAGTTAATGCTTGACCTAGATTAACTTCAGACTGTTTAACAATATCAACTTAATTAAAAATAGTAACAGAATATTTTTGCTTAAGATATGAATACAACTTTTGATAATTTAATTTGCAACCTGCAATGATATAGTCAAAAACAATTGGTAAAGTTGGGATATCTAAAACAAAACACACAACATTCAATTCGAGTTTGTTGATGACAAAGGAGTATTAATTACAGACCAAGACAAACGTTTAGATTATTGGAAAGATAGTTTTAAAGATCTTTTGTATGGTTCCTCTGCTTATGGATCAAGTGTTTATCGTCAAAGAGATGTTCAGATAGATCATAACAGTTATATCCCACTGCTAGACAATAACATTGCAGTAAATTAAGTAAAAAGGGCCATAGATAAAACTGACTTTATGCATGTTTCGAAACTGGTCAAAAATCTAAAGACTGAGGTAAAGGCATTATTAATCCCATTCAAAAATCTAATACAACAGATCCTTTGAATCCGTTATAAAGATAACAGTGGTATAACTCAAGCACCTACAATGTACAAGCTATTCTGCTCAGTTATTAACGACAAGAGGATATCTCCAAGCTAGTAGATGAGCAAAATGGCTTTCGTAAGAAGCGTAGTACTGGGGACCATTTATCAAGTATCACATATTTTATAGAACCTTGGTTAAAGAAAGAAACTTAGCACTTTTACTGCGTTTATAGATTTCAAATAGTCTTATGACATAGTTGACCGTCTAATATTATGGGAACATTTATTTAAGATGGGATTGAATTGTAAAATGTTGAATGTTATCAAGTCTCTATATTATTGTGTAAGTTCATGTATTAGACTGAATGGTTACACTTCAAAGTGGTTTGATGTTAATTTGGGATTACGTCAAGGGTACATTTTATCCCTGGTGTTATTTAACTGCCATATTAATGAACTAGCCGTAAATATAAAGTCTCTAGGTCTAGGAATAGAACTTGGAGAGGGTAAATTTTTATCAATTTTATCATATGCTGATGATGTAGTCTTTTGGCAAAAAGTGAGCAAGATTTACAGGCCATGTTCGATACTGTATTTATATGGTGTAATACAAATCATATGACAATCAAGGTAAAGAAAAGCAATATTGAACATTTTCGAAGCATATCGACACCAAGAACATCGTTTCCATTCAAGTGTGAAACTGATAGTTTAAATGTCACTGATAGCTATGTCTATCTTTTGTTGGCCCTTAACGAGTGTCTTGACTATAACTATACAGCTGAATTTGTTGCTAAGGCAGCTAGTAGGGCTCTTGGACATATTTTTGCAAAATTTAAGCAACTTGGATGTATGTCTTTCAAATTCAATGTATTTAAAAATTGAATGATTCTATTGTTTGGCCCGTTATAGGTTATATTGCAGCTATTTGGGGTACAAGAAAGTACTCGTATATTGAGCAGTACAGAACCGAGCAATGACGTTTTTCTTAGGAACAGGCAGATACACTTCAAATGCTGCAGTTGCTGGGGATATGGGCTTGGAACCTATCTCTAATAATTAACTCAAATGTGTGGCGAGTACTTGGTGTCGATTTGCAAGTAATGAACAGTATGAGAATAAATTTTGATGTAAATACATTTATGTACTGTTTTAAGCAGGCAGGTAGAACTTGTAAGTACTGGTATTTAAGAGTTAAAGAAATTTTTGAGAAATATAACTGTGGTGAATTTTTAGGTTTTAATAATGTTTTAATGTTTGGTTGAACATATCTGAATGAGTATTTGTATGAATGGATTGAGTCACTACATACAATAAATAGTAGTTCTGGGCAAGGTTGAAATAAATTGAGGACTTATATATTAACCTTTAAGGTTAGTTATGAAACAGAAACAAGTGCTATCCTGCCAAATAATTCAGAGCAGCACTTGCAAAATTTTGATGTGGGGTAGTCCCTATTAGACTCGACAATGAAAGATATGAAAAGGTAGCTTTAAACCAAAGAATTTGTCCAATCTGTAAATCTGTAAAACATGTTTTTTGTATTGTCCAAGGTATAAGGATATTAGGACAGATTTATTTGCTAAAGCAGAAACTGTAAATGAGCAATTTTTAAGGTTGTTTGTGACAATTACCTGTCATTCATTTTTTCCGATACTGAAATTGTATAGTGTGTTGCAAAATCCTGTTTCAAGAACTAACTAGCTGTATTCCTCAGAACTGTCTCTTATAAGGTTACTTTTAAATTATTAAATATCTTACTCAACAAACTGAGGGTCCTACATTAAATTATTGAGAAAGTTTACTAATCAGTGTATTTATAAGCCGCCTGATAAGGTTGGTAATAGTTTAATACTTTTTTATCATTAGACAAGTACATTTGTACAAAACTCTCGAGGTCTCTTGAAAGGGTAAACATACTTAATGTTAATGATTAGTAAAACTGATTTTATTTTTAGGCAAAGACGTTATATGTACAGTTACTTAAATTTGAACAATGTTTTATTTTTATTTATATAGGTCTTATCTTTTCAATGATGCGAAATAATTGTATCGAGAATATGATTTTATAGGTTAAGAATCTATTGCTATTCAGTCTAATTTTTATGGTTTTAAGATAGAGAACATGGCTAGGGTTTTCACTATAAAAAACAATTGTACCAGAAATTCTTTAAGTCTTTTAGAAAAATAACATTAGCAGTAGTTTCTTGTTTTAGCAGTATTAAGTTGTAACATGTATGAGAAGAGAGGTTATATTGGAAATTCTTGCAGAGTTGCCTCCCTTCCATTAGATTATTTTATATAGTCTCTTGTAATTCTGATTAGAATGACAGTACATAAACATCTTTTATTTTGTAAAATTATGTATTACTAATTGAATGGTTTTGTGTTATAATGTATGGATGAGACTCAAATAAATCTATATATAGTCAGGGAGCTGTGAAAATGCACAATAATCGCTATTTGACTTAATTGATACAATAATGCCTCGAGTGCTGTTCTTTAATGTGTAAAGTGTGAATAACATCTTTTTCCACACGATATTGACTGTTAAAAATGTAGTAGAAAAAATCGTTTAATTTAGCTGTATATGTACTACGGGATGCAACATTTATGGTCGTTTGTCGCGACAGACAGGGAGTCGTTTAATTCAGTGACATTACACTATAGTGATTTACGTTGGGCGGTCTGAAATTGTATCGTATATCACAGGAAGTCCTTTAAATCAGTGAGTCGCTATGACGAGTTTGACTGTAGTTGTTTTAATATTTGCCGATGGTTTGATCCAGACACTTGTGTATACATGTACTAACTCTGAGGAATTGACAATATTCTGACTCATCTTTACGCTCTGGGTTAATTATTCTTCCTTCATACAGTATGCGCATTTCTGTTGCATTCGCATCATCGGCATTTTGTAAAAGTTCCTATAAATTTGATAAAATAAAGCATTTGAACGACTTAATTGTAGGAAAAATATAATTCAACGTAAAGGAAAAATCACAGGTTGGGCTATTGAATCATTAAGCATATATCTCTGTAAATCGTCTTTATCCGATCTGCATATTTGCAAGTTGGCAATTCTTATAATCCATAATCTAAAAACAAATTTAGTTTGATTCCTAAGCACGGTTTTTACCATTTTCTATGCTTGGTGTCCATCTTGTGTTCGTCCAGTATTGATTCCATATGAGGAATTATGCCATGTGATCTGCTTAAACGGTCGTTCTCTGTATTGAATTCATTGTTATAGAAATCATTCATCTCCTTGCTCTAATAGTACTCTGACCTTCAAGTGTTTCCTCTTTTATCATTTTAGTGCATGTACTTTATTTGCGATATCATATCTGTTTATACTTACTTTAAAAGTGTGTTTAATGCTAAAAATACTTCAGTTGCATTTCTTATTTGTACAAATTAGTAATTTGCTAGACTTTAGTTATCGTAATATTACAATACTGTGCCAGCGAGCGATACACTAGTGTAAATACATTATTATTTCTATAGCATTGTAGGGCTCTACCTGATCATATTTTAATAAGTCATATATCATATATGTTACATTCCCCACTTTATTAATACACACGTATTTGATACGTGAATTTCATCATTAATTTCCTTTTAAAATTGACAGTTATTCTCTTATATGTCCATTGCAGTATTTTCGAAACAAAACCATTTTCATGGCAAAGGCTTAAGTTTTTCGCCTAGACGGGAAATTTGAACTTTTGAAATATTTAGTACATTTATCATTAATAGGTTATTAAAATGGGCCATTTTGCAGTGGTTGATCAGACTGTATTGTTGTCAATAGTATGGATTTAATAAGCATGATTATCTTCAGTGATATATTCATTATAGTCAATATAATTACATATGTACTTTACAACAAAAATGATTACCTTCATGAACTGTGCATCATTTCTGTACTCATCAAGGACACGTTTTATCTGTTCCAGAGGAGGCGGCTGCCTGATGCTTGAGAAATCTGTTGCGGAATGTACAAATTGAGATTCTTTATATATCAAATATAATAAAAAATAGTAAACATGTGTTAATATCCAAAACGTGAAAAAATTGAAGAATGTTCATTAGGGGTGTCACGGTTAGAAAAAATGCTAACCGTTTAAACAGCGACATAATAACCGTGTTAAACGTTTAACCGACCATACTAATAAAATCCTTAGATTTTCAACATTAACTTTGTTTCTTAATGACAAGATATGTCATTTTGTTCATATTTTGTTGTACTCAAAATGATTACAATACATATCCGAATATATAGTTACTATTTTCCGCTAGGTTCGTACCGTATTCGATCAGATCAGAAAAGATACATTGTTGAGAACAACTTAAATACAAACAATTGCGCATAGGCTCTGCACAACACCTTGTAAATGTGAGCATTGTTCTTCAAGTATAAATTTGACCTTGAGCAAGCCGATGACAGCATGAATTCTGCACATGTCCTTATTGGCATATAGATTTTAAGTTTGTTTTGAAGGATTTTTTAAGTCATATCGACACAGAAAATCCTTCAATTTCGTATATGTGTAATAAAGCAGAATGGTTGAGACGAACCGGCAAACTGATCGACCGCCGCAGTGACTTACGCGACAAAGTGATTCCTGTGTTGCCCTCCACATCATATGTCACCAGCTGGTAAAAAGGATGAGAAATTGGGTAGTAAGGTAAGATAGCCCTTTGATAGCATACTAGTTTATTTTTTATTCTTTTCAATTTGCATTTACACGGTAGGGAATCACGTGACTTTTACGGTTACGCGTACAGACAGTATGGCGGCCTAAAAACCTCGCTTCACATGTGTTTTTCAGGTAATTCTTTATTATATCCCATTTACTTACATACGAGACCTGTTGCAGCCTACGCGGAATAAAGAATTGTTGCCGCCTATACCTTATTTTCCACCCCTGTGCGCATAGCTTTTACAAACACTCAAAAATACAACAGGAATTTTCAATTTTAACAATTATTTTCCGGGTAACATTCACGCAAAATTTGTATTTTTTATGAATTTGATTAAACTACGTCGAGTTAGCAAAGAGAAAAGTTTCATAGAAGTTCTTATTTGAAAATGTAAAAAATTAGGCATGTTAAATACTGACTAGTCACTTTCAATTCCAATACACGAGAGAAAAATGATTTGGGTAACGGCCACACGTACTTTTATTGTTGATAACTCCCACGCAATATTTTATGTGCAAGCAATATCTATGCAGACTATAGCCTAGATATTGATTTATCAAAATCATGATTGATGCATTTTGCCTTAAACGTTCACAGAATTTTGAATAATATTAAAAATACCGCCAAAAGGTCCTGGATAGAAGTAAGCGCCTATGTATAGCAGAATACATAATACTCACGTAAATGTATTAAATGAAGATTCGATATAGAGATATGGATGAATTAATCGCAGAAATTAACATAAAAGTCTCAAATATAAGAAGGAGGTCGAATTTTGTTTAAGCACAATTACAGTTGTCATTTTTCATAGTTTGCAGATATGGACGGTTGCGGCTCGGATATTGTTTGTGGATAATGTTGGAAATCATTTCGTTTACGGACAAGTCTTAATGACCACATAAACTGGCTACTCGGCACAGGACCTTGTAAACGTTGTGGCAAATCGAACTGTCACAGGTTTGGCATTTTATTGTTAATATTAAGATTTTAAAGACATTCAAATCATTTTATCACTTAGTCTTTTATGTAACCAATTATTTTTAAAATAAGTGTCTGTATTTAAGGTATTAATTACGACCCTAATGGACACTATAAGGAACTAAAACATTGACATCATAGGTCAGATATATACCTTAAAGTACACCTGTATGCACGATTTAAACAAAGTTTACCGTACGGAAATCAAGTTATGGCCACTTTTCTGAACTCAAGCTAGGATGTTATGAGGGCCCTTTTTTTAGAAATGATGAACCTTTAAATAATCTGCAATAACATTCTAATGAAAAATGTTTTCCCATTATTTTTTGGTAAGAAACAAATAGTACCATTCAGCTAACAATCCACATAAGCAAAATTATGGTTTCTACTTAAAATTTATGAAATCTGTATAAAAATGTTACCCTACCCCACCCATTTTTACCTCGTGTCTGACCATTTTCCTACTTAGGGAGCCTAATTTAAAAAAATCCTTAAAATTTACCCAAATGAGTGCCTGTTTAAAGTTTCCCTAAATTTTTAAACAAGTATATTGGTTGATCTTGTAAAATATGAAAAACTTTTACCGTCTAGTTTTGATTTTATTACACTTTGAAAATATCAGGTACCATACTTATTACTAGATTTAGCATAATTTAGCCAATAAATACCTATATAAATTAAAAAATCTAAATTAAACACTTTTTTCTTTCCAAATGGGACATGAGAGATACATAAATAATGTTAAAAGAAAAAAAGAAAGAAAAAAAAGTTGACCCTTCTGGGGATTGACCCACGGCACTCATTTTCAATGTAGTTAACAGTAGTAGCCTATTTGAATACTCTTCAAAGCGGAGATAATGCATTAGGATGGTAATACCTTAACATAATTATGTATTTTTTTTAAATCTAAAGCAAAAAAAAAACCTAAAGAATATTAGAATGGGTCTTTTATTTTACAAACAAGGTAATTAAATCTAGAGGACTTATGTTTAAATTACCAGTAAAACCCGTAACGTATCCGATTTGCTGGGCTATAAAATGTTTTACCACAACATTTATAAGGTCCTGTGCCGATGTGGTCATTCCGTGAATGAAATGTTTCCACATATATCATAATCAATATCCGAGCTGGAAACTTTCATATCTGCAAACTATGAAAAATGTCAACTGAAATTGTACTAAAACAGAAAACACAAAACCTCCTTCATATATTTGAGACTTTTGTATTAAAACGCGACCTTATTGAATGATTTGGGTTTGGTAGGCCTTACGCGAAGTTATTGATGTCCTTGGCAATTTGTGATTTTACAGGTCTGCATTTTTGAAATTTATTTATCATTATTGTAACCTATAAACAGATGAAGTGTTGTTCGGCCCATATCATGAACGTCCCAAGACGATTCGTCAATCTAGCTGTATTAATAATATATCTTAGTGATAGTAAAATTAAATGTGAATTAGTTTGAAAAATACATTATCCATTGCATTATCGAAACAAATATTGATTAAACTGTTCTTTAAGCTTTATTGCCGTGAATTTATAGGGAATAATAAATCTTTTGTTATATTCTAGATCCTGGTCCTGGCTATCGCAGCTGTAGCTTGTATACCATACACTTAACATGGAAATAGTACAGTCCCTGAGGACCTTTTGTGTGCAAAAAAGGTCCATAGATAAAAGTTATACCAATGTAAAGCTAAATGTTTGAAGTTTACAAAAATTTTGGGTAGACATGTCAAATCATGGTACGTTTTGAGAAATCCAAGATGGCCGCCAAGATGGCCGCCAAATTATTGAAAAATGGCTAATACGCATTTTATCTGATAAAATTAGTTTTTTTTTGTATTTATTTTAGTATAAATGATGTAAGAACTTCACATCCTATTGGAACAATATGAAAATGGAGGCATTTCCATTATTTTTTCATATTCTCTGAATTTCATAGATAAATTTGCTAAAAAATGCATGAAAAAATTATCAAAAATTGATATGGGGCTGACATTTTTTCCTACCAGCTAAGGCATAGCGGTGTAAATGAATATTTTTACCATATACTACAAAGACTTGAACAATATCATACTAATATCACCCTTATTTTTTATCTTTATTGTAAAAGAATGTGGATTCTGATATTCTTAAAGTGGGTGGGGTAACGAAAATTAAGTCTCAGTATTTTGTTAACTGGTTTGTTATGATAATTAAAACTATGAATAGTCAACATGTATTGCACTTTGGCATGT